TTATGCATCTTAAATTAACCGCTCTTTGTAAATTTGATCTATTTTATTTTATTTTATTTTATTTATTACTTTTTTTCTTTTATTTTAGGGACAGTGTGTCTTCCATTTCTGGAAAAAGAATGGATATTTATGTAGTAAATGTATTGTTTTTAATTCTTTTCTTGAATTGGTCAAATAAAACACTGAATTATTTATTAGTGAATCATTCTAAATTAAATGTTTAAAAACTCTTGAATAATAATTAAAAATGGCTGGAAAGAATCATTTAAAAAGTAGAATATCATGACTGATGGATATTATTTTATCCATCAGTCATCTTTAAGTCTAATTCTGATGCTTTTAATTTTTTTTTTCTTAAAAATGTTTTGCATGTCTGTCGAGTTTTTTTTTGTTTTTTTTTGGTGTTAAGTGGCCATAATATTATGAATCTATTTTAGATTTTGTCATTTTAAGGTAGTTTTATGTTTGCACAATGTTTTATCCAGCTGTCACACTTGACATTCGTGCCAGGAAGAGAGATAGAAGAGAGTCATTGCGCTAAGGTGGTGTTTTATAAATGGAGGGTGCGTGTGGGTTGTGGGGCTGGGTTCTGTGACGTTGCCACAGTGATATTGTGCCGCTCCCTTCTTTACTTCCTGTGGGAAACAATTTAGGGCTTGTCTTAACACTGCTCCGCATGATGAAGCCACTCACTTTCTCTCTCTCTCTCTGCTTCTCTTCTTCTCTTGTAGTTTTCCTTCACTTTTACCTCCTGTAGCTCATCACTTTCTTTACTAATTTGACGGATTTGTCTTACCTGACCCAAAAGTTTATGGATCACCTCTCGCAGGGTTTAAACTTGCAAAACTTTGGTTACAGTTCCAGATCTTAATCCACGAAGTCAGTCATTTTCAAACTTTTTGATGCCAAAGACACTGAATACATTATCCAATTCCTAAAATGTAAATGTGGCTGTATATTTTTATGTTTAAAGACTCATTTATATTGTGTGAGTCGGATTAATTTTTATGAAGACAGTTTTTTTTGTTGTTGTTTTTTTTTACCAAATGTGAAATACCAGGCTTTTATATTTGTTGCTTTACAGAAGCAAAATAAATTATTCAGCATTTTTTGAAAAATGTCTATCTTTTTTCTGTGCACTATTAATGTAAAAAGTAATTTGTATAACGATTAAATAATAGGCTTAAGTATTGCTACTAAGTAGCTTTACGGAGAATATTCCCATAAAACCTTCAGAAAGCAGCTGAAGATGATTAAAACTATCTGGAATTATATCATTAAACACTTTTTTTTGTAATTATTTTTACTGTTAAAGCATTTGGCTGTCAATGTCATGATTTCTCATAATGAAACATTGACATCCTTATTCAAAAACGTATTCATCTTTTTAACTGCAGGTCCTGCATTATCAATTATTGAATGGCTTTTATCAGTGCTCATTATCCTAAAGAAAATATTATCAAAAGCATAAATCATTTGTTTAGCATTTCAGTTTACAAATGTCATCCAATAAAATCTCTATAAAGTGCATTACATTAAATGCAAATGCTGATCTGTTGTAAAATGTAAATTTTTTTTCAATGTTAAATAACCTTCAGAGATTTGAGTTGTGGTTTTTCTTTTTTCTTTTCCTCCCCACATGGTGTTTTCATAATTATTTTCTTGAAACATCTGGCTAATGTGACCAATAATTTAATTATTGGTTTATTCAAGTAGACTCAGTAGTTAACAACCTCAATAAAAGTCAGCAATTTAGGCTGCATCGTTGGCCATTTCAGTTTAACCGCAGGACACTTTACGCATCGCATCTTCTCCTACTGAAGATGCGTCAAAAACAGTCGACTGCAGAAGACCTACAGATGCACCTTACGGAGTTTCTCCACCTAAATCCCCCAAATAATGCACATAAGAACATACATTTATAGCTCCTTGACCCTAAAACTGTCCTCCTACTTCAAGGCTTGTAGCTTTTGCGAAGTAAGTCGCTTTTTTCAGTAGTTACAAAGAACAAAACCGTGTGGGTCATGTGTTTGTACTGTTCCTCAGTGCTCCCAGGCGATGCAAAGTCGAAACGCAGTCAGGCCTCAAACCAAAGCGGCCGACTCTGTTGCTAAGTTACAGTTTAGAGTTTTCCTATTTTTAGTTTCCTGAGACCAGGCTTCTCACCCAGAGATTATATTTTCATTTGGAATAGAAACAATAAAAGAATCCAAGTGAAATGCCTCCGTGCCATTTGTGTGGCTGTAATTAAGTGATCCTGTTAAAATGGGCTAATGCTGCATGAACCTCCTCATCACATTGTTAAATGATTTTTGTCATAGAACAAACGCTGTGGTTTGCTGTGTTCAACACACTCTATTGATTTCCCTCTCCATGTAGACTATGAAACACTGTAGTGTTTCGCTTAAAGTAAGTTTAACACCTAAAGGAATGAATAGATATTTTTTAAATGAGGTGAACTCATAAGATGAAGACTCCTAGAAAATGCAGTATGGCTGGTCGCTCCCTCATAATGGTCACCATGTTAAAGTCAAACAATAAATTCAAGCATGCCTCATACAAACTACACGATTTTTTATATATAGCAACCTGTTGTGAAAATTCAGTGGCTCCTCCAGAGCTGGTGGGGGCAGCAGAGAGGCAAGTGTTGTAGTTGTTGTTGTTGTTCAGAAAAACAAAATTTGCATTTTTAAAACTGGTAAACTGAAATTAGTAATTGTAAGTCAATGAGCTACTTGGGGAAATTCCGCTAGAGGTTGACAGTCTTAAGCAGGGCACACACTACAAGAAAATCCGGCCGATTTTGAGCTGAATTCTCCCCTTCTGACAATCCTAGTCCCAATTATTTTGATGGTTCTACAGATTGTCTCATCAGATTTCCCTGTGATGTGAGATGTGTTAAAGGGATAGTTCACTCAAAAAAGAAAATTACCCCATGATTTACTCACCCTCAAGCCAGATGTATATGTATTTATTTTTTCAGACGAATGCAATCTGAGTTATATAAAAAAAAATACCCTGGCTCTTCCAAGCTTTTTAATGGCAGTGAATAGGGGTGGGCGACATAGCCTCAAAATTATATCACGATATTTCAAGAGTATTTGCGATAACGATATTTATGCCGATATAGAAAAAAAAAACATGGAACAACGTTTTATTGGGGATTGCAACTGGCAGGCAGCAGCATTTATTAGTGCAAACAAAGTTAAAGGCATTTTCCATCCTTTTCCAATGAGCTACTGTCATCGATGACAGACTACCTAATTTGAAGTGTGAATCTATTGTCATGAGGTGGCAGCAGCAGCTGTCTGCTCGACTTGAAGCAGACCGATCGGTGTATGACGTCAAAATACCGTGAGAGTGACTTACCCCTTGTTTACACTGCACGCGTCTGTGGTGCGTTACGGCTCCGATGTGGCCACTCTAGACAATGCTTGTGTTTACACCAGCAGAGCCGCGGCACGTTTCAGAAGTGTCCCAGAAGCGGCTCTCAACGCCGCTTCGCTAAAGATATGTGCCTCGCCTATTTTTGACAGTAAGAGTGTGCGCTCGAATATGCTCTAGAACCGCTCTCGCGATACTTTGATGTCATACACCGATCAGTCTGCGCAGCTCTGCTTCAAGTCGAACACACCTATTGGGGTTTGTGGTGGTGCTGTTGTGCGCGCTAGGGAACGTATATCCGCCATACGTCATCGCGTTGCTATATCATTGATATCGCGATATGACACTTTTTTTATCATGTAAAAATTTATACCGGTATTGTGATATGGCACTCCCCTAGCAGTGAATGGTCCATCATAAAAAGTGCTTCACACCTCTCCGGGTTTTAATAAAGGCCTTCTGAAGTGAAATGATGCCTTTGTATAAGAAAAATAACCATATTTAAAACTAAACTTTATAAACCGTAATCTCTAGCTTCCGCTAACTGTCGTACATGCGTTCACGAGAGAGTGGCGTACCAGCGTAGGACGTAGACGTATTCTCTCCGGAATGCGTTAACGATGAAGTGGACACCCGACAGAGAGGAAATCCATGGAAAAAATGCGATTGGGCTAGTTTTGAATATCTGTTGGCCTGGTTTTGTTTCTCGGACCTGGCAACCCTGCCTCCAGCTCACTCTGTAAGATTTTCATGTGTCTCTGTGACTTCATCTAAATATTTTTTTCTTTTATTTCCACAAATTTTCTGTAAAAACCAGTCCAAACACTATAATCATCATTTCTTCTTGCCCGTCGTCCGCCATTTGTTTACTCTAAAGTCACGTTTGACTGCAAGATGTTTTCCCGTGTTCACAGTCGGGACTCTGATTTGGTGTTTGGTGTGCCATCTTGGTCACATCGCAGCTCTCCACACACTATAGGAACAAAACTGTTAAATCTATGAATTTTTTATCGTTATGTTTGTGGTCTCTCACATTTTAATCTTTTAGTGTGTGCCAGCCTTTAGCTGTTTTCGTTAATTTAAGCTGTGGTTATAATAGTTTCTCGTCATAGAAATAATCTTTCCTCATAATGCAAGCATGGCAAATATCTGTGTAAATCTGACAGTTTACAAATGGTTTTATTAACAATACTATTTTTTTTTTTTTTGCTTGTGACTTTGTTGCCTTGTTATTTGTCTTTGTCTTATTAAAGGGATAGTTCATCCAAAACTAGAAAAACCTGTCATCATTTTCTCACCCTCAAGTTGTTCCAAACCTGTATGAGTTTCTTTCTTCTATGGATTGTAAAAGAAGATGTTTTGAAGAATGTGTGTAACCAAACACCTGTTGGTCCCCATTGACTTCCATAGTATGGAACAAAAAATACTATGGAAGTCAATGTGGAACATCAACTGTTTTGTAACACACATTCTTTAAAATATCTTCTTTAGTGTCCAGCTGATGAAAGAAACTCATACAGATTTGGAAAAACTTAAGGGTCAGAAGATGCCTTGTAATGTGTGTCTGTGTTATGTGCACATTGATAATTTTCTCTGTCTGTGCTGTGTGTACGCAGGTACAGCAGTGTGTTTCCCAGTCTGAACATGGCGGTAAAACGCAGGGAACAGGCTCTTCAAGATTATAAGAGACTCCAGTCTAAAGTGGAGAAATATGAAGAAAAAGAGAAGACGGGGCCCATCATGGTCAAACTCCATCAGGTACAACCAGTTCTTCCATTCAAGGCAGGACTTCCTTTCCGACAGCGTCGCAATTTCAGCCATTCATTTTTCGATGAGTGACTGATCGCCTACTAATACCAGAAATCCTTTAATTCAAGTTAGTTCACTCAGCGGTCATGTTGGTAATGCCCCAGGGAGCTGTTTTCTGTGTAGATAAAACATACAGCTCTTGTTCACTTGAATAGGGAAAGATGGACATCAAATCGGTAGCATTTTAATTTAATGCAACCTTGTTACACATTAAATGTATTTACTATAGTAAAAACAGTAAATTAAAAACCAAACCCTAAAAACCAAACCTTTTCAGCACAAATGTTCATTGGGGCAAGTTTTTTTAAATTAATCTCTGAGCTTCTGTCTTAAAATTCACCCTGTTTATGAGGAGCTATAGAATATAAAACCATATCCACAACAAACATGTATCAAAAAGGTCATATGGCATATAACTGCTGACAAAATACAGCTATTTTTAATACTTAACATGCAAAAAATAAAATAAAAATTTTCCTGAATGTTTGAGTTTCTAACATGAATACAAGCACAATGTGGCTGTGAAAGTGACCTTATTTCAGGCATTTATCCAAAAACCCATTGACTTTGAGACTAAGGAGCCGGAAGTGGTAAAAAGCTCATTTCTGGGTTTCGACCTCCAAAAATACCTCATCATTGCAGCACAATTTTGACTTCATATTGACTTCAACTGGAGCTCAAAAAGACACAAAGCCACCTGAACTATGAAACACTTCACACACAACAGTTTTTCTCTAGTCTTTATACATCTTCCTGTAGTGGATGCTTGTACTCGAGTATGCTGGACCTTAAGAGTCATCGGGTTTGTTATCATCCATCCACTCGCGTACAGTTCTGGCGGGATTTTTTTAGTACGCAGCAACAAGTGAAGGAAGCTGCGCTGGATGGACGCAGAAGTATTCGGAGCACATGTATACATGTGAGTGAACTCACCCACGCAAGAGAAACAGCCTCTCAACTCAGCTGCACTTTTTCAAGAGGCTGCGCTCAACACACACTGTGGGATAATTGGGTTTCGCACACACACACACGCTCACTCGCGCACGGTAACACGATCCAGCGAACACGAGCAAACAATAATTGTTTGTTCTTATTGTTGCACACTTCTGGGTCATTATGCATGTGTATGTTGACACGTGAAGGACCGTACGTGCGCAAACAGATAGAGACGGATGCCTGGAAAACGTCTACATACATGTACAGCCCATCGCCCACACACACACTGAAGGACTCAGCAGGGCCATAGAGGATAGGAGAACTGATAGTGTGTGTGCAATCACATTTACACATGGCCTGTGTCATATATAGAAAGCAGGTCATATCCTAGCATAGGTCAGCACTTATAGATTGCTTTCTCCTCCCTTCCGCTGTGCTGATTGGTGATTGCATCATCAACATTGCTCTTCCCCACCTCCACACCCTTGAAAATATCCTGGCCTCATACAATTTTTTTGTTATTATTCTAATGACACACCATAACAGCATGCTTTAATAATTGGCAAGTCATTCTGGGGTAGGCAGTAGTGTTGGTTTTATGTATTGCTGCATTACGTGTGTGTGTGTGTGTGTGTTTTGTTTTTAGGCTAGGGAAGAACTGAAGCCTGTCAGGGAAGACTTTGAAGCCAAGAACAAGCAGCTGTTGGACGAGATGCCCGAGTTCTACAACAGCCGCATTGACTACTTTCAGCCCAGCTTTGAGGCTCTGATACGAGCTCAGGTGAGCATCAAATGCAACCAGCTCAGATGCAAAATAACTCAAACTAAAATACAGCATGTCGGTTACGTGGGCCATATGGATTTTGTGGGAACATACTTTTATATTTTGTTTAACACAAAACACAAAAAATTCCTTCCTCAGTCACACACACACACACACACACATTGGATTTCCATTTTATTATTTATATATATATATATATATACTGTATAG